AGTGCAGTGGCTGATCTGGGTCAGTGCAACCTCCGCCTCCTGGGTTTGAGCAATCCTCCTGCCTCAGCCTCCCGAGTAGCTGGGATTACAGGCATGCGCCACCACACCCAGCTAATTTTTGTATTTTTTGTAGAGACATAGTTTTTACGTAGGCTGAACTCCTGATCAAGTGATCCACCCGCCTTGGCCTCTGAAAGTGCTGGGATTACAGGCGAAAGTCACTGAGCTCAGCCTGTATTTTTATTTAACTTCTGATAACTTTCTAGGTAAGGAAATTTACATTTGAAGCAATAGGTCCAAATGTTAGCATGAAAAAAAAAAAAGTACAGTAAATATGCTACAGGTGTCAAATAATTCTGGAAACCCAGAAAAGAAAAAGTAGTAAATATATCTAGAGCAGGTGTGAGTGGAAGGCACTTACCATATGGTACTGGACCGATATTTGTAGATTGATAGGGAAGAGGGGCCTTGCTAACCATCCAGCACCTGGGGCTCCTGGATAAATGATATGATGTCACAGGTCCTCAGATACAGAGCATTTTGCTATTTTCTCCTCATCTTAACCACCCCTCAATTGTTCACTGAGCACTTACAGTTTGCAAGGCACTGTGCTGGGTGCTAGGAAGAATAAAAACTGAGAAAATGTGTCCCCCCTTGAACAAGACACCTACTGGGCAGCCTTCTCAGCTAGTGACCCCCATGTTTAGCAAACTCCTTCTCCTAGCCTCTCCTTCCATCCCCTAAGCCAGGGACATAGCAGTCACATTTAGCTACATGACCTGCTTCCCCAAGCAAAGTTAATTTGCCTGACTCAAGATGAGCCAATCAAACTCTGTATTCCAGGATTTAGGCATCTGGATTCAGAGATACAAGTCAGTTTCAACTGCAGTTTCAACAGAGGACACATACACTCAAGGGATGCAGGAACATTGCATTTGGCTACGGACTTACTGAGGAGCAAAGAGCCCTGGTCAGCAGAGAAAAGAATAGCATAGGCTTGCAGAGAGAAATGAAAAGGGGAGGCTGGATGACCCTGGAGAACAGGAGAAAATCCAGTTTCATTCCCAATGCCTCCAGCTCCTGCTGCCACTTCTTCTTTTGGCCCTGCTGTACTCCCTCTCCCTGTTTGGATTTCATGTATAAAAACCTGTCAGCGGTGACTTCAGCCAGGGTCTCCCCACCGCAGCACGATTGCATGTGGGGCTGGATAATTCTTTGTTCTGGGGGCTGTCCTGTGTGCCACAGGGCGTTAAGGAGCATCCCTGCCTCCACCTACTAGATACCAGTAGGACCGTCCCTGATAGTGACAACCAAAAATGTCTCCATACATTCCACATATCTCCTGGGGGCGGGAGATTGTTCCTGGTTGACAACCACTGACTTAAATGAAGAACAGTTTATTCTTCTCAGGTGAAAAGGAATTAGTTTAGAGATAGTGTAGTGGCTCAAAAAAGTCATCCTGAGCCTGGATTCCTTCTGGTTTCGCTTTCATTTATAGCTTGTGGCTTCAGCCTCATTGTGGCTGCTCTGCCTCCTGTATCACATCCATGCTGGGGAGGGAGGAAGGGGCAAGGGGAAGAGGTACACGAGGTTTTTTTATCCAGAAGCCCCACCCAATAGCATTTCACTTACATCTCATTTGTTAGAGCTGGGTTCTTTTTTATTTTATTTTATTTTTTTTTTGAGACAGGGTCTCACTCTGTCACCCAGGCTGCAGCGTAGTGGTGAAATTACAGCTCATTGCAGCCTCACCCTCCTGGGCTCAAGCAATTATCCCACTTCAGCCTCTAAGTAGCTAGGACCACAGGCGTGTGGCCATGATGTCTGGCCAGTTCTTGTAAACCATGGGGTTTTGTCATGTTGCCCAGGCTGGTCTCGAACTCCTGGCTTCAAGAGATCCGCCTGCCTTGGCCTCCCAAAGTGCTGAGATTACAGGCATGAACCACGATGCCCAGCCAGAGCTGAGTTTTGAGAAGCATTTCTGGGTGGCCACAATGCCACCTCAATCAAAAAGAAGGTTCTGTTACAAAGTGTCACGGATTGAATTATGTTCCGCTTCCTGCCCTCTGCCAAATGCACATGTTGTCCTAACCCCTAGTACCTCAAATGGTGACCTTATGGGGATCTAGGGCTGCTGCAGGTGTAATTAGTTAAGTTAGGATGAGGTCATGCAGGAGTAGGGTGGGCCCCTAATCCACTATGCCTGGTGTCCTATAGAAAGAAGAAATGTGGACACAGATCCGCATGCGGGGAGATGATGTGTGAAAAGAAAGACAGACCCCAGGGTGATGCTTCTATGAGCCAAGGAATGCCGAAGACTGCTGGTCACCCCTAGGAGCCAGGCGGAGGCCTGGGCCGCAACTTCCTCGGGGCCTCAGCAGGTGCCAGCCCCACTTGCACTTTGGCCTGGGGCTTCCAGCCTCCAGACCCGGGAGAGTTCTGTCATTTAAACCACTGAGTCCAGGGTACTTTGCTAGGACAGCCCCAGGAAACCAATGCACTCAGGAAGACAAGCATGAGAGACGCTGCGCAACCAGGCAGTGAAGTCCACGCTGGGCCTCGGAAAGAACCGGAATGCTTTGAGCATGTTTCCTTCGTAAGGTAGACTGTGTTCCTGGCAGGCGCAATGCAAAGGACCCTGATGAGGACAAACCCTCCCTGGACATAGGACCGGAGGAAGGAGGCAGGGCATGCATGTAACTGAGGCACCCCCAGAGAGACCAGGGCCTGTGGTGACTCACTGCTCCAGGGAACCAAAGATTGTTACTGGTTGAGCCGGGGCGGCCTGTTGGAGGCACAGGCGTTGGAGACGGCAGGCCTTGGATGGGGGGAGGTTGGGGCGACTGTTCCAAAGGGAACAATGAGCCCAGAGACTTGGGGGCAGGCGCACAATGGGGCCAGTGTGTGACACTGCGCACTGTGTCACTCGGGTGGATGGTCCCTGCAGAACAGTACATTGTAACTGCTTCCAAAGCAAGTGAACTATGGGTTTCAACAAACTGCTGAATTTCTGTATTAAAGACCCAACAGGTGAAGAATAAAGAACGTGGAGGTATTCTGACTCAGCAATTTCATTTCTGATGCAGGTCTCCTTTGCAGAACTTTTGGCAGGATGGTTTTATGCTTCTTACATTTATTTTTCAACCTCTCTGACCTTTACATGAAAACAGCCATCAGGGGCTTGTTCTGAGAATCTTGGTCACTTTGATTCTTGGCCCCAAACACCGACACAGAACTGGTTTCCCAAAGGATTGTCTGGAGAAGGCTGAGAAGTGTGACAGTGTCTCTTTAATTAGATTTGCCCCTGAACTATGAGAAGGCCAGGATGTTCACGGCAGGGCCCTTACCTCTTAGAGATTCATCACTCCTGGGCAGAACACTGGCACGTGCTCTTCCCAGCTGTGTCCCCTCGGAGGAGACTTTTCATAGTTTTGTTTTGGGCCAGCCATGAAAACAAGAGCTCAGCCCCTTAGTCTCAGCTCTATGGGACGAGCGTTTGAGAAAAAGAGGTAATAATAGACACTGGTTTATTCAAGGATGCGATCCTTCAACAGCTTTTACCGTATCCACAAACACCAACACCAGGAGGGCCTGAAGCTGAGAAGCAGATGGGCTGCTTAGGACACATATTCACGGTGTGTGATCATTAAGCAGGGGTGTCCTCACTTCCCAAATTCTAGTAATCAATACGTATTTCCTATGGCTGCCGTAACAAATCGCCACAAACGTAGCAGCTCAGACCAACACAAATGGGTTTTCTTAGCGTTCTGGAGGCCAGAACTCTAAAACAGGTCCTAAAATCAAGGTGTCAGCAGGGCTGTGTTCCTCACAGAGATGCCAAAGGAGAACCCATTTCCCTGATTTCTCCAGCTTCTGGAGGCCACCCACATTCTTTGACTTGTGGCCTCTTTCTCCACCTTCAAAACTCATCCTGTAGTCATCGTCCTGTCTTTTTTGACTTTAATCTTCACGCCTCTCTCTTAAAGATCCTTGTGAGTAGATTAGGCCCATCGGAATCATCTAGGACAATCCCTCTATCCCCAAATCCTTAACGGAATCAAGCCAACAAAATTCCTTTTGCCAAGTAAGGTAACATATTCACAGGTTCTGGGGATTAGGACGTGGACGTCTTTGGTGGAGGAGGGGACATTGTTCTCTCTACCACACCGACACTTTGCAAAAACATGTTCTTCTTGGACAAGTGAATTTTGAACATGTTGGGTTAAATAAAAAACAAACAAACAAACCAGGTTTCTTCACTGCAGGACTTTTTAGTTTTCAGTGTTAATGAATGTTATAAAATCCAAGAGGGAAACGGAGTATATAGTTTTTCCCAATCTTGTTTGAACAAGATCCCCCCCTCCTTCATTTCCCCCCGTGAAACCAACAGACATTTCAGGATCGAGTGGGGACACAGTCTCAGGGAACACATTTTGGCCCCACTGTGGAAGTCGAGGCCTGGAGGAGCAGGTTTACATCTCACCAAGGTTTGGGGATGAAACAGATTACAGGGGAGAATCGTCCTCCCCTGGCCACCACGTGCCGTGCGGTGCGGTGCGGTGAGCACTGGGGAAGAGGAATTCTTCATTTAGGATCCGATATTTCATGTCTGAAATTTCTAAGTAGGATTTGGTTGACCTCAATTGCACCCTCCAAGGCAGATAGAGAAGTCAGTCCCTCACTTATTCATTCACCCGTCCATGCGCTTAGTAAGTGTGTATAAGGCAACATTATACTGGGAATTCCATGTCCACAGGTTCCCTGTCCACGTTCACCAGCTCTATTTCCCGCGCCCAGCCCCATTTTTGCTATAGCCACGCATAACTGTCAAGTTGAATCACAAACAGCTGTCTCCCAAAAATATCCCGAGAAATCTCCCCCAACTCTATATATTCCCTGAAGGTCGCACGAAACAGGACTATAGGCAGGAGGGGCGGGGCCCAGGCAGAGGATGTGAGTCATCAGGCAAGTGCTGCCGCGTATTTTTGGCCTTCGGGTGGGGTGGCTGGGTGGGTTGGGCAGCGCGTGTGCTCATGGTCGGGTGAATTTATGGGATTTATCCAAGTTAATGGTAGTGCTGGAGGCAGCCCCAGGGAGCGAGGCAATCGGAATGTGCCTCTTACCACTCCATTAAGCCGCTCTCTGGACACGGAGTCATCCCACTAGGCCTGTGCTTTTAATGCCAAGATCCGCATTGCCCAGCCCTGGCCTGTGGGTCTCCTCCTCCTGCGCCCCAGCCCCACCTGCGGTCTTTGCAAACAGCGCCCCTGGACGAGGAGGGCACACGGACCCGATCCGCTTCCCCAAAGCCTGTGGAGCACTTATCAGTCCTATTTAAAGCTCCAGTTAAGGATTCGGATTAGGGACTATGTCATTAAATGACCACATTCACGAGCCCTCAGAGAAAAGCTCTCACAAAGCTTTTGAGCTCATGGCCTCTTGGCTGCCTTAGGAGCTTCCAGTGTGTTAACATTCAGAAAATCAAAATATTCCGAGCGCTGGCGCTGCAGCATTCCCAGGCCTTTGCGGACTGGAAGCTTCTCTGTCTGCTGTGTGGACGGAGCGGCAGGAGCCAGTGAGTCCTGGGCAGCTTCGGGGCCACCTGGTCACAACCCCCCTCTGTCCCTCTGTCCCAGGGGCCCGGTCCTCTCGGCGGGGCTCCAGACCTCTGGCGGCTGCTTTTGTGCTCCTTCGCGGGGCATCTGTGAGAACAGTCTGGAAGATAATGACAGAGTGCTTGCCTGGGGTGTCAGAGGAACTCTGGTTATGTCTGAGCCGAACCCCCGGAGCCTCTGGACCACCTAGCACTGAGGGAACGGGAACTGGAGGGCGGGTGTGAGGCCGGGAGGAGCCTTCCAATGGGAAGAAACCAAAGTTTCCTGCTGTGTCATCTGAACTGGAAAGTAGGCATATCAGGGTATTTCTGAAGGTGAAGGGCACCGTTTGCTTGTACTCTGTTCCTCGGCGTCCCCAGAAAAAGAAGCTTTGATGTGACCAGGGCTCCTGGGCTGTGCTTTTCCTTTCTGTGTCCATGTCAGGGTTTCTCTCTGCCAGCCCTTATTTTCAGGGATGTTCAGACCTGAGGGTTCGGCCTGTGCAGCCAAGAAGCCCTTGAGCCGATTCATGGTGTGGATCCCTGTCCTTGTGGCTCAACAATGGGGGGCTGGAGGTGGAGCCACAGGGCTGCTGGAGGGGAATGGGGCAAGGGCCATGAGTCTGGCTCAGTGGCCCCAGCGAGGCCAGGGCTTCTAGTCTTCACAGGAAGCCAAGGCTTTGTGGACGTGGCCTGGCGCCCATGCCTGAATTGCATGGAGGTGGCCCCTTTTGCACACTAAGAAAGATTCCCAGAGTTCCTGCTCTCCTCTCCTTTCTATCGTCTGGGCTGACGTAGGGGCTTTTGTCCACTGGGGAGGAGCCCATCACCTCTGAAGCTGACTGGGATTCTCTCCCTGGATGCAATTAGAAGTTGAACTTACTTTTCTTTCTTTCTTTTTTATTTTTTTGAGACAGAGTCTCACTCAGTCGCCCAGGCTGGAGTGTAGTGGCGCATTCTCGGCTCACTGAAACCTCTTCCTCCTGGGTTCAAGCAATTTTCGTGCCTCAGCCTCCCGAGTAGCTGAGATTACAGGCACCCGCCACCACGCCTGGCTAAGTTTTTGTATTTTTAATATAGACAGGGTTTCGCCATGTTGGCCAGGCTGGTCTCGAACTCTTAAGCTCAGGCAATCCACCCGCCTTGGCCTCCCAAAGTGCTGGGATTACAGGCATGAGCCACCACACCTGGCTTTGAGCCTAATTTTCAACGTAGTTTGATCCTGTCTGTACTTTGAAGCAGAAGTGGCACCGACTGGATGCGGCCGAGGAGGGACACCTGGGTTGCATTGGCTCCCATTAATGGCCAAAGGCAAGGAGGGCAGAAGATGGTTCCTTTTTAGAAAGAAGCTTAAAAAGCAGCAAAACAAAACACAAGCACACCCCCACCAAAGTGTCTTGGCTGTGGCGACTGTGGACCTACGCCCCTGGGATGGCCCCGTCATCCTTCAAAATGCTGCTGGCACCTCTACAACCTGCTCAGCTCTAGGCCATGGCCACACTCTTCCTGGGCTGCCCCTGTCAGATGGAGCTCAGTGGAGCCACGAGGTCTGGGGACCTGGATGCCCCAGCTCATCCCTGGATTCCTCCGATGGGCCATCTTGCTCCAGGTCCCCTCACTGGGTTGGCCGAGGCTTGGTCGGATCTGCACCGCACTTTTAGGCTTTCCTTGCCCGATCCTCCCCTTCGTCTCTTACAGGTGTTGTCCCCCAGGAAGTCTCTTGCCCTCCCCTTCTGCACGGGCAGCCGCTTCCCACGCTGTCCTTTGATGGACACGCCAATGCAGGTGGGAATGAGCTTGGAAATTCTAAATGACCAGAGTGATTTCTGGGCCCTGAGTGTATTACAGATGGAGAAAGCTTCTGAATTCTCTATGGAACTCCAGGCCCGACCTTGGGATGGGAGGTGGGCGGCTGGGCCCACAAGGAAAGAGGTCTTGTCTTGCCCCACAGAGGAGGTGGGGAGCAATCAGCCGGCCCCAGGCTGGAACCTGAAGAAACCCAAACACCAAACGCGGGGAAACTTTCCTTGCCTTTTTTCCAAACATATGTTCAAGCCGGGGGTCTGAATATGCAGTGGGCTGCTCTATTTCCCACCTGGCTTTGGGGACGCAAGTCAACCAGGCAGTTGCTGAGTTTGCTCCAGGAGCTCTGCCTGGAGGGGTAGTGCCAGCAGGGGCAGGCATTTGGAGGAGCTGGGGCTGGCGGCAGGTCCAGGAGGCTGCACGTAGACTATGCCTAGGCACAGCTTTATTTTTAGTCATCACATGTTTCTTTCTATGTCTGATAAATGGTGCGTGATTAATACAGAAGAGCAAACAATTTCCTCGATATGGCAAGCGATGTTATTTCTGTATACACCCGATGGCCTCGTATGCAGGTGTTGCTTACTCTGTGCAACTTGTGTAGTAACCAGCAGCTATCAATACACTTTACAGATGTGCTGGAAGATAGTTATTTAAAGACAAACAGTGATTCTTTTTAGAAAGTAAAATTCTGAAGGAGGCATCAAAACTTTGAATTTTGATGCAGCATTTTTTTTTTTTTTTTTGAGGGGGAGTCTTGCTCTGTTGCCCAGCCTGGAGTGCAGTGGTGCAATCTCGGCTCACTGCAAATTCTGCCTCCTGGCTCACTGCAACTTCTGCCTCCCAGGTTCAAGCGATTCTCCTGCCTCAGCCTCCTGAGTAGCTAGGATTACAGGCACCCACCATCATGCCTGGCTAATTTTTGTATTTTTATAGAGACGGGTTTTCACCATGTTAGCCAGGCTGGTCTTGGACTCCTGACCTTAGGTTATCCACTCACCTTGGCCTCCCAAAGTGCTGGGATTACAGCCATGAGCCACTGCACCTGGCCTGATGCAACATATTTTTAAAGACAGGATGCACATGTAATTTGGAGAGAGATGGCATATTCCAAAATATTGCAGGTATGATGACATCCTCCAATGATAAATACTTCCCAAATGGTCCTGTGAGAGCTCCCAACTTCCTCCTCTGGCCAGTAGCCTTTCAAGCCAAGACTTCAAACCAACAGAATTTTATTTTAACTGTAAGGAGAGGACAAAGGCCATGGAATGATGCCATCCAGCCTACCCTTGGCCGGCCTCACTGACCCCATCTGCAGGAGGCTCAGGAAGGTTTCCACATGCCCAGAGTAGTGTGGTTCAGGCGCTTCTCGGAGTCATTCTCACCCCAGTCACCGGAAGTGGGAAGGACAGGAGATCTGTCAGTCAGGTCGGCCATGGAGGTCAAAGGCAGCTCTGTTGAGAATGTGCGGATGTTTATCCTTCCAGGTCCAGAGAAGGGATGGCACAGATTTCATTCCTGCATCGTCTTTTGACCGCAGGTGCTACCCTGAGCACTGTCGGGGGAGGATTTCAAGGCCGCCCCCGGCCACCCCTGATGGATGCATCAGTCACTTCAGCCGTGGTGCTGGGGGGACCCGAAGCGCAGGAGCATCCTCTGTCGTCCTCCTGGCTGGGACCCTCTCACTTCCTGTCTGCACTGCAGCCCCAGTGTGTTCCTCTGGGAGCATGGGGGCGACGCCATCTGGGCCTGCCACTGGTCCTTCAGTGACCTTTGACCTCCCCATCACCTGTGCTCCCCAAGTCTGGGGTCATTTCCTGCTCAGATATCTTCTACCCCTGATGATCGATTCCCCCTGGAGGGGTGAGCCACTGTCGGGAGGGGAGATGATGCTGCCTTGGGAGCTGATCACGCAAGGAGGGGCAACCCCAGCCCAGATCCTGGAGGTCTTTGGGCTTCCCGGTAGAAGCCGGCCTTTGTGTCAGCAAACCAAGAAAATGCCTCCCCAAAATGGTCTCCAGGTCCCCCCAAACGCCTACCTCCCCCTCCAGCCTTCTCCACTGATGCCTGCAGCTCCATCAGTAGCGTTTCATTCCACCCCAACAGGAGCTGGTACTGGTTCTTCCCTGGCCTCATACTGGGGTAGATTTTAAATAGGATTGGGAGCAGGGAAAGGAGTCAGAGAAAGGAAGGGTTCCAGGAAGCTGGGGAGGGAGATGTCAGGTGGGGTGACGGGAAAGGAGGCCAAGGACCACCTTTGTCTGTAGGATGGGCTGAACTGTGTTCCCACAAAAGATAGGGAGTCCTAACCCCAGCTACCTGTGAATGTGACCTTATTTGGGAATAGAGTTTTTGCAGATGGAATCAAGTCACGATGAGGTCACTAGTGTGAGCCTTAATGTAATAGGATTGATGTCCTTTTAAGAAGAGAAGACAGAGACACATGGGAGAAGGCCACGTGATGAAGGAGGCAGAAGCTGGAGCGACGCTACCACAGGCCAAGGAACACCGGGGTTACCAGGAACTGGAAGAGGCGAGGAGGGGCCATCCCCTAAAGACTTTGGAGAGAGTATGGCTCTGTCAACACCTTGATTTCAGACCTGTAGCCCCTAAATGGTGAGAGAATAATTGTCTATTGTTTTAAGCCCTCCAGCTTATAGTACATTGTAAAGGCAGCCCTAGGAAGCCCTTGCCAGTTTCACTCATTATGATAAATATCATAGATGATGACTGTCATATATTGGATGTGCTGGAGATCTTAACAGCCACAGAATAAACTGCAGGCCAGAAAAAGAACATTCATATGAGGTCCCCAGGAGGGGCTGGCTGTGCCAGTCAGAGACTGCAGAACCAGGTAGGCAGACAAAGTGAAATTGCCTGGAGCTGGACACGTATGTGCACCACTGGGAAATAAATAGACTTGCAGTGGAAATGACCAACGTGGATGGCCAGGGAAATGCCGGCAGCAATAAAAGAAAAGAGCGCACAAGGCCTGTAAATCAGCAGATGCGAGAGCTCCTGAAAAGTGGCGAAGTCTGAAATAAAAGGCAGGCTCAGGCTTGGGGTCTAAGAAGTTGAAGCAGGATATGAGAGCGCGGGCACTGTGTGTGCTGGGCTCCCGAAGACCGCAGGGAGTGGCCAGAAGTCTCCAGAGGCAGCATCATGCGGGGCAAGGGGGACCTGAGGAGTGTCAGCATCCTCGGTCACCTCCTTCTTCGAACCAGCTGTTCGGAATCTGGTGTCTTATTTAGGATAATTGTAGGAACTGACTTTTTTTTTTTTTCTCACCTGTTGGCTGACTGAAAGAACCGACTTTTTAATGAGCACCTCCCTCATTAGAATTGTTCAAATGATAACAGCTGCAGCAGTGGGAGCAGCAGCGAGGTTGAAAATCCAACAGTCTGCATTCCACAGCAACAGTACTCTTGGTCACCTCGGAGACATGGCAGCCAAGAGCCATGGCTCTCATCGCTCGTGGTTGGTTGGGTTGCCAGGCCTAGGGCTACAGAATGTAGCTAAAAGAGAGGCTTGGCGGGCAGCTAAGAGGGGCGCAGGACACCAGGATGGGGTTCATGTGGCAAGAGTGGATGGAGCCAGTGGCCCAGTAGGGATGAGATGGCACAGTTCCAATGGGCAGGACAAACCCCAGTCACTGTCTCAGGGTAGTGGCCGAATTTGACAGGAGGTAAACAGCAGACAAAATCCTGGAGCACAAGAGGGCAAGAGTGTCTCATTCCTATGAACGGCAATATTGGAGGACCGACCCCCAAGAGCATCAGCTTCCAAGGCAGGGCTTTCTGTCTGGCGTTGGCAGCAGCCACCTAGCACTATAGGCAGGGAGAAGCAGCCCAGGTCCCCTCACATTTGCCTCACTTAGACTCTTTTGACCAAAGCACCACTGTTTAAAGCCTCATTTTTCTTCTCCCACGTGGAAAATCATATTGCTTAAATTTAAAAATGACGATAGATAGATTGATGAAAAAATCCCCATACAGCAAAATTCTGCCTGTGACAAAAGGGTCTCCATGTCTGAGGTGACGGTCTACTTTGAGTGACGCCAAGAACGTCAAAATCGCTCTATAAAAAAAGAATAGGAACCAATAGGGCTCATGAAAATGCCACACTAAGAAAAGTCAACAAATATATACTTAGTGGTAATTATGGTTGCAGAGAAAGAGAAAACTTAAAACAATATGAACATATATGGTTACATAGATTGAAAACCCACCATGTCATAAAACCCCAGGACACAGAATGCATCAGCGTAGACAGCAGCCATACAGACAATGCTGGGGCGGTTGTGGAGTGGGACTGGAGGGCGGGAGGAGCCATCGAGTCAGGTCCAAGGCCATTAGCCTTGTGATGCCAGCAAAATGTGTGAGTGGTGAGCCTCTATGTTCTCTACTGTAAAATGGGGGTGACAGTACTTCCTTACAGGGTTGTGGTATGAAGTTACTTGGCACAGAGCTTGGCATGTGGTCATAATGAGTGGTGGATAATAATAATATGGTAACAGTGGACATCATTGTGAGAAGGGACAGAGACTCAATGTGAAAAGTATAGAAAGGGTTCTTACAAATCTCCAAGCACATAAAAGTCCCTAAAAGACAAATGGCGAAGGGTTCACAGTTCACAGAAATGGGAAAAAAGGAAATGAATGAATTCAATGAATATTAGGGGAAGAAAACCGTTACTAACTAGTGACGAAGCACAAAGAAATGCAAGTATCCAACACCATTTTGACAACGCTTGAGAAATCGAGAATTGAGAAACATTGTAAAGACTGACGCTGGCTCTGGTGGTTAAGCAGGAGTATCCTGACAGTAGGAGTTCCTGACGATAGTGCAAATGTGTCTGATTACTTTGGAAGACCATTTGGTAATTCTCATCCAAAGCCATAATATGCCACACTTTGATCCCATCATTCTCTTCCTGAGAATGAAATAATTCAAATTAAGAGAAAGCTATACTTATAATGAGACATGTAGTTAGAATTATGAGAATAAAAATAGGTTAGCACCCCATAATACAGAAATGGTTACTTTGTCATAAGAATCCTAATTCTATAACATATTACATGGTGATTAAAATGAGGGTGTATATAAAATAATGTTAAGTGCAATACAATTTATTGAAATAATTAATGACAGGTATTTTTAAAATATGTGGTTAAAGATTAGATGAAGCTATCAGTTAATGCAATTTATTTGATGTAGGTAGAGGAACTTAGATACAACTATGTGTGTCGTTTTATTAATAAGTATATTAAAAGACATGTAACTAAATTATCTTAATTTCTCTGTATCACTAGTTATGAATACATGACTCCTCGTGATTCATTTTGTACTGACCTATACGAGGGTACACAAATCTAAATCAGGCACTGAATCAAGGCACAAGCTAGCTGTGTCCTCCCTGGAACATTTCCTGACTCAATTTAGAAATATCAGCTGAGCATGTAGAGTCGTCTCTTTGAGGAAAGCTTTATTCTCTCCAGACTACTTGGTTCCCTGATACTCTCTTTAATGTTATTATAAGAACTCTAATCTTTTAATCTGCTAAATCACTCTCTATTATTCTTATATCTCAAAAACAGCTTCAAAAGTCACTGGATTTTTCAATGAGAAGGAAAAGTTAGGCAGCTACCAAATAGCTGAAAGAATATTAAATCTGATGGATCCAGCCAAATAAAAATGTTCAGTCATTCATGGGATTTGCGGTTGTTGAGGAATCTTCTAAGTTTTATAAATGGCAAAAACTCTTTCTCAAAGTTACAGATCAGACCTCACATATGCATGAGAAGAGAAGCTATTTTTGTCTCTGGGTTCCAGTTACACATCCACAGCCTGGAAGCTTTGTTCTCAGAATTCATGCTGTCATCAAAAGGACTCAATACAAACACTGCAGCCAGCCTGCCATGGCTTAGCTGTGACCGCAGCTGCAAACTCTTCTGTCATGTGAAAACCTTTGGGCTTTTTCCGGGTGTGGAGTGCCTGTTGGTCCCAGCTCCGCCTGCCTTTCCTCCTCCTGGAATCGTGCCCATCCTTTCAGTCAACTCAGTTTTTCCGCATCTTCCAGGCCTCATACCTCCGCCTGATCTGCATGGCAGTGGTGGGCTGGCTCTTTGTGCTTTTACACCGTGATCATGTTTAGCGGGTCAGCTTCTACAGAATCGACCGGCACCTGTGTGATGTCTTTCCCTAGGTGGATGTAGCTTCTTTTTTTTTTTTTTTTTTTTTGAGACGGAGTCTCGCTCTGTCGCCCAGGCTGGAGTGCAGTGGCCGGATCTCAGCTCACTGCAAGCTCCGCCTCCCGGGTTCACGCCATTCTCCTGCCTCAGCCTCCCGAGTAGCTGGGACTACAGGCGCCCGCCACCTCGCCCAGCTAGTTTTTTGTATTTTTTAGTAGAGACGGGGTTTCACCGTGTTAGCCAGGATGGTCTCGATCTCCTGACCTCGTGATCCGCCCGTCTCGGCCTCCCAAAGTGCTGGGATTACAAGCTTGAGCCACCGCGCCCAGCTGGATGCAGCTTCTCCATGGGCTAAGTTCATCATGTTAACAATGCCTGCCCCACAGGCCCTCAGGGGATTTTAATGGGTGGTCTGTGGAGAGACTTTAGCAGGTATATGAATCCCCAAAATTGTAGGCAAAATTTGTGTGCGCCGTTGCCTGTTGACAGCGGGGACTCTGCGGCTGCTTTCTTCTAGAAGCCTCCTGCGGATTTGAGTGAATCATGGCAGTCTCCTTCCCTCTAGAGTGATTAGTTTCGGCTTTGGCTCAACATGGTGCAGACCATGGGATCCAAAGGGAAGTTTGCTGGGCATTTCTGGGAAGGAGGGCTCTTCTTCTGATTTGGTAGGGAGCCCTCTTTTTCATCAAACGCCACGGCTCTCACATGAATGCTGCCTAGAGCAGACACAGCCCTTCCAGGACCAGAGGCCAAGGCTGATAATGGGACAAGAGGGTGGAGGAAGAAGTGAGGAGCATCTAGGCCTTCCTCTTTGACCAAGCACTGTCCTAACCAGTCCTGATTTGTTCGCTTCTAGTTACATGATATAATAAATGTCCTATTTCTTAAGGCACTTTTAACATGAGTGCAGCATTTTAGAGTCTCATCAGGTGTTCCACAGGACCCGAGTCTCCTCTCAGGCTTAAGGATGCCCATAAAAGGTGCCCAATTAAATGTGGATTGGTTGATCGGCACACAGAGAATCGCTGGAAGTGCCTCTGAGTCATCCAGGTGCCAAGGGAGTCTGCCAGGCTTGTCTAGAGGAGGTTGGCCAACTGGGGTGTGTTGTTCTCCCACTCAAGTCCACTGCCCAGTGCCGCCAGGCGTGGGAGAGCAACTCAGAGAGGGCTGGATGTTACACCAAGCGAGGTCTTGAGAGTGTCATGCTCAGGGAGACTCCCGAGAGGGGATCAGCTGGCTGTTTGTGTGGGTGTTGCTTCACTCGGTAGACAGGAGAGAATCCTCTTCATCAAGGGCCTGTAGAGTAGATGGACTTAAGCTTTTGCACCCACTCTGGCTGAGCTGTGGTGTTAAGAAGGATTCTGAAGCTGTGTCCATATTTAGCTGGAAACTGTGCCTTGATTATTAGTTAAGTGTCCCATGGATACAAATGGAAAGAACCGAGGCATTCATGCCAGTGGTTCATCCCCCCTGTCTAGGGTCTGGTTCTCGGCTTTTTAGATCGGGAGACTCAGGGAGCCCCTTCAGAGTAGAGACCCACTTCAAAAGTGGGTTCATCTGTCTCCTGAAAAATGCCCCACTCCCTCTGATAGACTGTTCTGCTCAAAAATGTCTTCTGACTGAGCACAGTGGCTCACGCCTCTAATTCCAGCACTTTGGGAGGTTGAGACAGGCGGATCCCTTCAGCCCAGGAGTTTGAGACCAGCCTGGGCAATATGGTGAGACCCTTGTCACTACAAAAAACTAAAAACAATTAGTCAGGTATGGTAGTACAAGCCTGTAGTCCCAGCTACTTGGGAGGCTGAGGTGGAAGGATCACCTGGCCCCGGAGGTCAAGGCTGCAGTGAGCTGAGATCATGCCACTTGCACTCCAGCCTGGATGACAGAGTGAGGTTTTGTTAAAATAAATAATGATAATTTGGGAGGCCGAGACGGGTGGATCACGAGGTCAGGAGATCGAGACCATCCTGGCGAACATGGTGAAAGCCCGTCTCTACTAAAAGATACAAAAAAACTAGCCGGGCGAGGTGGTGGACGCCTGTAGTCCCAGCTACTCGGGAGGCTGAGGCACGAGAATGGCGTAAACCCGGGAGGCGGAGCTTGCAGTGAGCTGAGATCGCGCCACTGCACTCCAGCCTGGGCGACAGAGCGAGACTCCGTCTCAAAAAAAAAAAAAAATGATAATAATAATAAAGAATCATAAATAACTAAATAACTAAATAAATAGGTCTCTGAGGCTGAGGACAGGCACCCTCTGAGGATGAGTGGTGCTATCCGAAGCTGTCTCCCTCTGTCAACTAACAAGCTGGTGCCAGGAACACCAGCTGGTCTCCTGGGCACTCGATGGACCCTCAGCTCTTCCTTGGATGGTGGTGAGCAATCTCAGACACGTCTCCTTTTTTGGATCCCGTGAGGAAGAGTGTGACCTTTCTGCTTGGCACTTGGCTCCTCAGCCTGATGCATGCAGAGCGCGGCACAGGGCCAGGTGCACAGACGTGGTGCCGTGACCCTGGGGAACGCTGTCTTGGGACCCACGTCTCCCATGCAGAATGAAGGGCCCCCTGCAGATCTGCTGCACGTGCTGTGGAGTTGCTGGTTCTGATTAGGGAATGGTTTCCTTTAATCCCTCCGGGCCTAGGAATGCTCTCTGCCCACCTGGACTCTGTTGGGTGCACACAGGATAAACATCACAAAATGAAGAGTGCCGTCTGCAGAGCCAAGAAGCAGAGGCTCGCTTGGAGAAGGACAGGACTGGGCCTAGAAGGGTTTGGTGGGTGGCTCTGCCTGGCCATTTGGGGACAGGAAAGGGGAAGGAACCCCAAGTAAGGGGAGTGGCCTGAAAGAAAGGCAGGATGTAGGGCCTGCTTGGGGCCTGGTGACCAAGGCATCATTTGCCCGGCCGAGGGTCTGCGTTCTACTCAGGGGTGAGATGTAGGGAAGGGGAGGAGGAGGTTGAGGACTTGAGGAAAATGAGACTTTAGGAAGACTCCTGTGGCTGCTGGGGATGGGTGGGAGAGGAGGGAATCCAGAGAGGCAGAGAACCATCCAGAAGGGGGTGACTCTTGGGTTGAGGGTGCTGGCTCCATGCTGGGGGTTCATACCAGAGGCCACCAGGACCTCAGGTGAGGGCTGCTGCGGAACTCCCCCTCCCTGGCCAGGCCTCCCTCCCCTCCTTTCCCTCTCTCCCTGCCCTTCCCAGGCGTGTTGGGCTCCAGTGGTGCTGGCCTCCCGTGCTCGGGGACTGAGAGCTGGCTGCTCCTTCCTGCACAGCCCTGCTTTGAGAGACTGCAAACCTGCCTCCAGGCAGGCAGAGCTGGGGGACGGGGAGTCAGCCCGCGATGTGCTTGAAGCAAAGCAGATGGTGCTCTTGGCTCAATGGAGGTGGCCGAAGGACATGACCTTCCCCACCGGCCTTTCTTTTGGGAAAGGAAGTCTTTGGTAGTTTGTAGCAACTGAATAAATCTTGTCATTTTGATAAGCGGGGTCCCCGTTTCACTCCCTGCGTGGAGAAAGCGCCACACTTCCTCCCATTGTTCCCGCTGATGGCATTTCAGTCTGTGAGGCGGGATTGCTGTCCCGGGGAGTTTAGGAAGGAAGTGCAGGCCCGGCCGTGGTGGCAGGAGAGGCGTGCGGTGCGGGCCGGTTATTCTTGGAGGTTATTTCCATCTGCTGGGCCCAGAGCAGCTCAGGTTTCTGCGCCCGGGCCGGTCACGTCATGGGAGGGCGAGGCTTTGCTTTATAATAATAGACTCAGGCTCCCTGGGCCAGGCTGGCGGCTCCTTGAGGACATTGGGCCACCCTGGCTCAGTGTCCCACAGGACCTGGAGTGCCCCATGAGCGCCCCTTCCGTGTCCCTGCCACACCCCAGGGCCCTCCATGAACTGCAGCTCCTCACGCAGCTCCCAGAAAAAAGCAACTCCCAGGAGACTGACCTGGGAAAGCCATGTGGGGAGAGCCGGGCCACAGCTTCCCAGTGTGGGAGGAAGAAGGTTCTGGTGACTGGTGTGGCAGCCACTGTCCTGGGAGGTAGGAGCCCCTGGCAGGGGAGGGTTTGCTCTCTGTCTTCCAGGCCCCCCATGCAGGCCCCACTCAGGCCACTTCATTTTTAAAATTCAAGTAATTTTTATGATTATAGATATTAGTGTTAGTTTGTATTAATTTGCTGGGTCAACATAAATTACCACAGACTGGGTGCTTAAGTAACAAGAATGCACCGCGCAGGGTCTGGAGGCTGGAAGTCGTAGGCCAAGGTGAGGGTGGGGCTGGGTCCTGCTGAGGCCCCGAGGGAGGCGGGGCCCAGGCCTCTGCCAGACACCTGGAGGTGGCCGGTGATCTTCGGCTTTCCTTGGCTCACAGAAGCATCATCCTGGTCTCTGCCTTCCTCTTCACACAGCATCTCCCTGCATGCGGGTCTGTGTCCACATTCCTTCTTTCTATAGAGACACCAGGTATATCGGATTAGGGGCCCCCCCTACTGTATGACCTCATCCTAACTCGACTAATTACACCTGCGACAACCCTCTTTCCCAATTGGGTCACCTTATGGGGTCCTGGGAGTTAGGACATCAACATATGAATTTGGGGGACACAGTTCAACCTACGACAGATGTGGCGCATATGGATGGTTGAAACTTAGAAAATAGAGATGATCAGAAAACGAAGGAGTAAAAACTCTACGTTTCTACGGCTCAGAGATCATCACTGTGACTAGCTCAGGGCACATCCTCCTGAAAAAAACCGTGTCTCAGAATGCGACAGAATGTGTATCCTGTTGGGTAGCCTGCTTTACACAACGATCTCCATCTTTCTAGTTTGCCAAATTTAGAACCTGGTCTGTGTTCAAATTGTGTGTTCTTTCTAGCAGCCTCATTCAAACCAATAACCAGTCCGGGGACATGCTCGTTAACTGGTGGTTGTGTCCCTGAAGTCCTCTTTTCATGGTATTGGCTTATTTTGGGCCAACTGTGCTGCACAACCGCTGGGTTGCCTGTAAACTGGGGCTCATAGCTAAACCTAATGGCCTCGAGTTAAATGTTGCTGGACAGAAAGCATTGCAGGGACTTCTACTTGCTGCGGGCCAGAAGACACGAAACATCTGGTTGACCTGTGTCAGGGTTTTGCCAGGTCCGGGCGTTCCTGCACTGGGTGGGAAGTGGGACAAGATGACCTCGACTGGCCCTGGCAACACTGAGGTTTTGCAGCTCGGAAGTTTCTGATAGTTGTCTTTTCTGGTGGCAGCAGCACTGGGAGAGGGGGCGTGGCAGGGTCTGTGGATCGGCCCACGCTACTGCCCTTGAGGATTACACCGAGGGGCTGTCCCAAGATGTCCAGTTCTCAGAAGCGCGTTCCTTGGATTCCTGACATTTTGTCCACAAATGTGGAGTGAGGGGCACGTGCTTTCCTCACTGTACCTGTGTCTCACACACCACAGGCTGCGATCACATGGGATCAGCTGCACACTCGCCTGTCTTCCCTCCTACACCGCTTCCGGGAAGGACCATGACTTTTTTAATCCAACATTTCATGGTTTATTTTTCGTTGGAGGAACAATTTATGAAGAAACACAAATTTCATGTGTATATTTGCTGATGATTTGACAAATGCAAACACTTTTATAACCCAAACTTCTGTCAAGATCTAGAACATTCCCATCACCCCATAAAGTTATCACTCCATAAAGTTCCCGGGGGCCCCTCCCCAGTCAATCTCTGACCATGCAGAAGCAACATCATCACCGTTCCTGTTTTCTTCCACCATAGACTATTTTGTCTTTTCTAGAACTTTGTGTAGATGGAATCTGCAGCACGCTGTCTTACTCAGTGAAGTTCTGGGTTTCATCCACAGTGGTGCAGATGTCCATAGCTTGCCACCTTTCTTTTTCTTTCTTTCGTTTTT